GCAGCCGAGGGTACGCGGGAGAAGTCGAAGCATAGGAGTACTACTGAGTGGCCAGAGGTGGGCTAGGAGGAAGAGTATTGTGGGGGGACTGAAATAATGCTGATACGTGCTGCAGGGTGGACGGACCTCAAAGTGCAGTCCCAGCTCTCTTCCAGTGGATCAGCATCGTGGATTCATTGATCACGCATCAAACTCGAGCGTCCATGGTAGTTCGAAACAGACTGTAGGAAATAGGATGGACGACAGTTTGAGCTGGCAACGCAGCGTCGTTTTGCAGGCAAGATGGTCCGTGCGAGTGGGTTGCTGCCGAATGTATACAATGATCTTTAGCGCTGTGGTAATAAAAGAAAAAAGATAAATCATCAGAAACTTGTCTAAATTGAGGAAAGACATTTATGAAGGTGATGGGTTCGGGGCTAATGGTTCGCTCAACGCGTAGGAACTAACCAATCAGGAATGCTGAAAATGTTATGCTAGTGTCTCTTGGTCCAGCCAACTGAGGTGATATAGAGGGATCACGCTACAAGTCTTACCATGAAAATGCGTCTCCAATACTTTTGTTTTAGAAAAAAAAACAAATAAAACCCATACAGCTGGCATGTGAAAGTACTGTCTTAAACCTGCAATTCGCATTCACGACACAAAGGTCGAGTGATGATTTTGCACACAGACTTGGGTTTGTCCATTCTGCTAACCTATGAAGGAGGCAACGGTACCTCCACGAACCCCTAGGCAAAACAGCAAACTAAATGTCAAATACATGTAATCTCCTGCTAAGGCCAGAACACCGCAAAATAAACCATAGACTGCATCAACAGGCAATGCAACCCGAAAGATAATTGGTGCGGAATCGGTTTATTTTCTTTGTCTTACAGAGCATGCCTTATCTGTTACCTAAAGTAGAAAAGGTAGGGCAAAGGTACGCCTAATAGCAAACCGTGGTAAAGGCAAGTAACATTAAATAGTAAACAAAACCCCAAACACATGACTAAGCACAGCGCGCAAGCCTAGCGGGGCTGTGTCCTGACCGTGACCACAAGTCTGGATTTAGATCTAAACTCAGACTTTAGACCTCATAACCAGGAGTCTGCCCATATAATTAAACGCAACGCCTACTAACAAAATCAAACCTACAATTAAACGTAGCTGAAAGCGAGACCCTGAATTAAGACACGAAGGTAGACGTACTCGAAAACGTCTGGGTAAAACTGCCCTTCCTTTTTTGTACAAAGGAACCCGAATGCGTAGGCTAAATTTGCGTCTAAAAGCAGCAAACGCACCATGTAGTCAAAACGAGAGCCACGTATGCAGACTGCCTGGCAAACAGTCACAGCCGGAAGAACAACTTGTAAATCAAATGGCCATAGGTGCCAGCAAATAACGGCCAGCAGAAATTTCCGAATGAAGGAAAATGGCAGCTTGGATGCGGCCAGCCAATTCGGTCTTACCAAGCCCTCTGTTTGCGAATATGAATGTCAAGTCAGCATAACGGCCCCAAAGACATTTTCCCAAATCTCTATCGCGGAAACGAAAGAACAAAAAACCAAATCACATAAATATACACACTGTTAGATGGGGTTTGTGCTGTTGAGGCAGAAATCTGCAACATCAACCGGTAAACAAAGGCGAATTGACCTGCACTAGACCTTACTAGACCTGGTACAGGAAATTGGATTGTAGGAGAAAATTTCCAAAGCTTGGGAAACACCACGGCAGTCGGGTGCCAGAAAGGGAACCAAAGTCATTTACAAACGTATCTCAATTCTGTTTTTCTGAAATCTTCATCCTCTAGAATTTTCGACAAACTGACTTGATTTTTATGCTTGGGTTTAGACGGGAGACAACGCAAAAAGAGTAATGTGTAAGAATAGTGTCTACATTGAAGGGGTCACTTCAACGGCAAAATAAGCGCTACCTAACTTTTAAGGATCGCCAGCTACAGTTGGACAGTAATGTCTTTGGAAAATTTTTGCATACAGGTGAGATGAGTCAGACCGTTAGGTCTGGAAAAGCGATGTGAGTTGGAAACCAGGAGTTCAGATTTAAGTGGGCTCGAAGGAGGCACACATAAAACGCTGCACTGCTCAAATTCATTTACAGAACAGACAGCCCCATGAGCGTCCAAGGCATCATCACACAGGGCAGCCAGAATGAAAGCTATTGAAGAAAGGGACCGCACTAATGCGTCAGACCCAAACATGAGTCATACAAATATTTGGCATACGATAGACATAGGACTTTCCATTAGGTCAGCTACTACACCCTATCTCATCTCCAGTTAAGTTGACTCAAGCTGGGCACTGAGTGGGAGGAAAAAGAGTAAGTGACCCTGCTCGATCCTCCGTCAGTTCGAAAACTCGGGAACACTTTAGAGCTACCTGGGTCTCCGAATGATTAGGCCTAAGGAGACAACCCCTCCTTCGAACGCCGCAATGCGTACTGCTCAATACGACCCTTATGAGTTAGGTAAACCTGTTTCACGTCAACGAAGGTAACAACACTTCTGCAGCTTCTGTAGAGGAAGGCCTTGTTTGAGTCACTGATAACATAATCATCTCTAAAAGACTTGATCTAGTCGTGACATCGGCATCCGGTGAGTAGTGATGGCGCTGGGGAGAAAGCGTGCAGGTAGAAGTTGCACAAGGTTCCGCACACGAGCCGTCGCTCATACTGTCTGGTCACATCAAAGTGCCCAACGCAATCGAAAGATTTTGTGTCTGCTGTGTTCAAAATGGTTTTTGATGTCAGTAATGACAAGCAGTTTTTAATTAGCGTCCAGCATGAAACGTTGAGCATCGCGACTTCATTTTACTTAATCGTACGTGTAGATGTACGCAATAATATAGCCTTAGTTCGTTTATTTCTTCCTCCATCCCCCGACTCAAATATATCGACTTCTTGGCCATTCGAAGGAAACGATTTGCCACTAACAAGAGGAAGAAGTAAGTCCTGGTCTTGGGTTGGTTCTGCTGCGTACAAAACATCGCCTCAGATTTGAATTTACTGAAATAAATAAAAAATTAAAGAAGTATTTATCCGCATAGGAGATAAGCACATGGCAGTTGACAACGGATGTCAAGTGATTTCGGAGCTGTAAAAGTCAGGCCTTTAGGCATTGCATATGCCATTAATTGTCGAAAGATTGGTTTGGAAAGTTTATTTTGGTGCATCGGTTACAGTGGGTAGCGTCCGGGCAAAACGAAACAAGGGGCGACAAAATCAAAGTAATTACTTAAAATAAGATATAAATGTATACTCAAAGACGGATCCACAGCACTACCATACTTATCCGTGTCCGCGAAAACATTTTTTTGATGTATTTTAGCGAGCTGCACCCAGCCCGCCCTAAAATAAATGTGAGATCATGATAATTTGACACTTCGAGGCGTATATTAGACTCCAAAAACAAGCGGTGTGACCTCTAGTAAAAAGAACCAATTAGACAGTTTGAATGATGATAAAATGGCGCATAAAGGTTGACATCAAAGTCGACAGCGAGTATCTGTCACCCAGACAAACAATCAGGAAGCAGAGAGACAACAGCCACTTACACGGAAAATTTGCTTACTACTTCCACTGCTGTCGGTAGTTCCCACTGCCTCTGCGGCAGGAGCACTCTGTTGTCTCGGGTGAATAACATCAGCCAAACTGAGATTCCTTAGGGCTTGCTGGCGCTGATTCAACAGCAGCTGATCTGATCGGTCCATGGCTGAGAAGACAGAGGAGGTGTCAGTGGTCGTTGTAGTAGTGGTGGTCGGCGAACTCGCATGGCCGCTACTGGGGTTTTTCCGGACACCGGCTAAAAGACCAGGGTACCGACGACGTT